GATTAATCTGTCTGTAGTATTCTACTGGCAGTAGAAGGCTAACTTTAATGAATCTGTCTGTAGGATTCTAGTGGCAATAGAAGGCTAACTTTAATGAATCTGTATGTAATGTTCTAGTGGTGATAAAATGAATTGAATGAATCTGTCTGTGGTATTCTACTGGCAATAGAAGGCTAACTTTAATGAATCTGTCTGTAGGATTCTAGTGGCATTAGAAGGCTAACTTTGATAAATCTGTCTGTAGGATTCTAGTGGCATTAGAAGGCTAACTTTGATAAATCTGTCTGTAGTATTCTACTGGCAGTAGAAGGCTAACTTAAATGAATCTGTCTGTAGGATTCTAGTGGCAATAGAAGGCTAACTTTAATGAATCTGTCTGTAGGATTCTAGTAGTGGCAATAGAAGGCTAACTTTAATGAATCTGTCTGTAGTATTCTACTGGCAATAGAAGGCTAACTTTAATGAATCTGTCTGTAGGATTCTAGTAGTGGCAATAGAAGGCTAACTTTAATGAATCTGTCTGTAGGATTCTAGTGGCATTAGAAGGCTAACTTTAATGAATCTGTCTGTAGGATTCTAGTGGCAATAGAAGGCTAACTTTAATGAATCTGTCTGTAGGATTCTACTGGCAACAGAAGGCTAACTTTGATTAATCTGTCTGTAGTATTCTACTGGCAGTAGAAGGCTAACTTTAATGAATCTGTCTGTAGGATTCTAGTGGCAATAGAAGGCTAACTTTAATGAATCTGTATGTAATGTTCTAGTGGTGATAAAATGAATTGAATGAATCTGTCTGTGGTATTCTACTGGCAATAGAAGGCTAACTTTAATGAATCTGTCTGTAGGATTCTAGTGGCATTAGAAGGCTAACTTTGATAAATCTGTCTGTAGGATTCTAGTGGCATTAGAAGGCTAACTTTGATAAATCTGTCTGTAGTATTCTACTGGCAGTAGAAGGCTAACTTAAATGAATCTGTTTGTAGTATTCTACTGGCAATAGAAAGCTAACTTTAATGAATCTGTCTGTAGGATTCTAGTGGCATTAGAAGGCTAACTTTAATGAATCTGTATGTAGGATTCTAGTGGCAACAGAAGGCTAACTTTAATGAATCTGTATGTAGGATTCTAGTGGCATTAGAAGGCTAACTTTAATGAATCTGTCTGTAGGATTCTAGTAGTGGCAATAGAAGGCTAACTTTAATGAATCTGTATGTAGGATTCTAGTGGCAACAGAAGGCTAACTTTAATGAATCTGTATGTAGGATTCTAGTGGCATTAGAAGGCTAACTTTAATGAATCTGTCTGTAGGATTCTAGTAGTGGCAATAGAAGGCTAACTTTGATTAATCTGTCTGTAGGATTCTAGTGGCAATAGAAGGCTAACTTTAATGAATCTGTATGTAGGATTCTAGTGGCAACAGAAGGCTAACTTTAATGAATCTGTCTGTAGGATTCTAGTAGTGGCAATAGAAGGCTAACTTTAATGAATCTGTCTGTAGGATTCTAGTGGCAACAGAAGGCTAACTTTAATGAATCTGTCTGTAGGATTCTAGTAGTGGCAATAGAAGGCTAACTTTGATTAATCTGTCTGTAGGATTCTAGTGGCAATAGAAGGCTAACTTTAATGAAACTGTCTGTAGGATTCTAGTAGTGGCAATAGAAGGCTAACTTTGATTAATCTGTCTGTAGGATTCTAGTGGCAATAGAAGGCTAACTTTAATGAATCTGTATGTAGGATTCTAGTGGCAACAGAAGGCTAACTTTAATGAATCTGTCTGTAGGATTCTAGTGGCAACAGAAGGCTAACTTTAATGAATCTGTCTGTAGGATTCTAGTAGTGGCAATAGAAGGCTAACTTTGATTAATCTGTCTGTAGGATTCTAGTGGCAATAGAAGGCTAACTTTAATGAATCTGTATGTAGGATTCTAGTGGCAACAGAAGGCTAACTTTAATGAATCTGTCTGTAGGATTCTAGTAGTGGCAATAGAAGGCTAACTTTGATTAATCTGTCTGTAGGATTCTAGTGGCAATAGAAGGCTAACTTTAATGAATCTGTCTGTAGGATTCTAGTAGTGGCAATAGAAGGCTAACTTTGATTAATCTGTCTGTAGGATTCTAGTGGCAATAGAAGGCTAACTTTGATTAATCTGTCTGTAGGATTCTAGTGGCAATAGAAGGCTAACTTTAATGAATCTGTCTGTAGGATTCTAGTAGTGGCAATAGAAGGCTAACTTTGATTAATCTGTCTGTAGGATTCTAGTGGCAATAGAAGGCTAACTTTGATTAATCTGTCTGTAGGATTCTAGTGGCAATAGAAGGCTAACTTTAATGAATCTGTATGTAGGATTCTAGTGGCAACAGAAGGCTAACTTTAATGAATCTGTCTGTAGGATTCTAGTAGTGGCAATAGAAGGCTAACTTTGATTAATCTGTCTGTAGGATTCTAGTGGCAATAGAAGGCTAACTTTAATGAATCTGTCTGTAGGATTCTAGTAGTGGCAATAGAAGGCTAACTTTGATTAATCTGTCTGTAGGATTCTAGTGGCAATAGAAGGCTAACTTTAATGAATCTGTCTGTAGGATTCTAGTGGCAATAGAAGGCTAACTTTAATGAATCTGTATGTAAGGTTCTAGTGGTGATAAAATGAATTAAATGAATCTGTCTGTAGTATTCTACTGGCAATAGAAGGCTAACTTTAATGAATCTGTCTGTAGGATTCTAGTGGCAACAGAAGGCTAACTTTAATGAATCTGTCTGTAGGATTCTAGTGGCAATAGAAGGCTAACTTTAATGAATCTGTCTGTAGGATTCTAGTGGCAATAGAAGGCTAACTTTAATGAATCTGTATGTAAGGTTCTAGTGGTGATAAAATGAATTAAATTAATCTGTCTGTAGGATTCTAGTGGCAATAGAAGGCTAACTTTAATGAATCTGTATGTAAGGTTCTAGTGGTGATAAAATGAATTGAATTAATCTGTTTGTAGTATTCTACTGGCAATAGAAGGCTAACTTTGATTAATCTGTCTGTAGGATTCTACTGGCAATAGAAGGCTAACTTTAATGAATCTGTCTGTAGGATTCTACTGGCAATAGAAGGCTAACTTTAATGAATCTGTCTGTAGGATTCTAGTAGTGGCAATAGAAGGCTAACTTTGATTAATCTGTCTGTAGGATTCTAGTGGCAATAGAAGGCTAACTTTAATGAATCTGTCTGTAGGATTCTAGTAGTGGCATTAGAAGGCTAACTTTGATTAATCTGTCTGTAGGATTCTAGTGGCAATAGAAGGCTAACTTTAATGAATCTGTCTGTAGGATTCTAGTGGCAACAGAAGGCTAACTTTAATGAATCTGTCTGTAGGATTCTAGTGGCAATAGAAGGCTAACTTTAATGAATCTGTCTGTAGGATTCTACTGGCAATAGAAGGCTAACTTTGATTAATCTGTCTGTAGGATTCTAGTGGCAATAGAAGGCTAACTTTAATGAATCTGTCTGTAGGATTCTAGTGGCAACAGAAGGCTAACTTTAATGAATCTGTCTGTAGGATTCTACTGGCAGTAGAAGGCTAACTTTAATGAATCTGTCTGTAGGATTCTACTGGCAATAGAAGGCTAACTTTAATGAATCTGTCTGTAGGATTCTACTGGCAATAGAAGGCTAACTTTAATGAATCTGTCTGTAGGATTCTACTGGCAATAGAAGGCTAACTTTAATGAATCTGTCTGTAGGATTCTACTGGCAATAGAAGGCTAACTTTAATGAATCTGTCTGTAGGATTCTAGTGGCAATAGAAGGCTAACTTTAATGAATCTGTCTGTAGTATTCTACTGGCAATAGAAGGCTAACTTTAATGAATCTGACTGTAGGATTCTAGTGGCAATAGAAGGCTAACTTTAATGAATCTGTCTGTAGGATTCTAGTGGCGATCAGAATGAATTAAATGAATCTTTGTAAGCAACTTCTTTCTTTACTCGAGTGTAATTGAAGTGAATCCTTCTTTTGTCAGGTGTTTTGATTGAAGTATTTAAAAACTAGTGTATGTGTGTCTTTGATATCTGACAGGCTAGATTATTGTATATGTTTTTACCACATGGAATTGGTTATTTACAATGCTATACAGCATGCTCCAGTGTCTTTTAGTAGCATAGCGTCACACTAGAGGCACGGTTATTGTATCTTTGTTAATTAAGAACATAGACAACACTTTTCCGTTGTGTCAATCTTGTCAATATCTGTTTGGGTATGAGAGTTCCGTACAGTGGACATTCTATTGTTAGATGTTGTAGAGATTTGTATGCTCGCACACGTTGGCTGACATTTTTGAGAATGGATTACCTTGACAGTAGATGTTATTGATATTGTAGTCTTATTTAAGGTGAGAACGAACTGTAACACACAGATACTTCGCCCGAAATACATAATCCAATACATCTGATACACTTTTGACTTCCTAATGTCTCCCTTTGACACTGCCTCACTTTTGACTTCCTAATGTCTCCCGTGACACTGCCTCACTTTTGACTTCCAAATGTCTCCCTTTGACACTGCCTCACTTTTGACTTCCTAATGTCTCCCGTGACACTGCCTCACTTTTGGCTTCCTAATGTCTCCCTTTGACACTGTCCCACATGCTATAGGGGCTGTTGTATCAGCGGACAGGACCGAGGCATTATATGATATCACAACCGTTTCATACTTTCATCATTATGTAATACTCATCCACATTGATGTGTACATGTGATAACACTACTTTTATTAATATGGCTTTCGTACAAAATCGTGGATATCGTCCATATTTTCTCCGAAATATTTTGACACCTAGCTGAAGTTAACTGATGTTAAAAAGCCGCACACAAACTAGACAACAGAAACTAAGGAGATATGTTGTGTGTGACAGAGTTGTTGATTTCTTGGTTGCTTCCAGTCGGCCCCCTTGGTAAAATGCTAATCACCTAAGATATTTCTAACTTTGATTATCAATTTTTTTTTTATCTGTTTTAGCTTATTGGTCCTGTTCTACTTCACACTATTAAGCCGACCATTGGAGAAAAATGGACACCGGAAGTGGAAACTGCGTGGTTGAAGTTTTTCTGGATGATTGCAACTATCATGACTGAAGGCATGACCGACTCGTTACACAACAGCTGATCAGATAATCCAGCTGGTCAAACCTGACCTCACTGCTGACCGGAAACAGCTCAAGTCTCGGATTCGTTAAAGATCGGGCCATTCAAAATTACACTGTACTTCTGGTACAGGGAGATTGATAGTGAAGGACAAATTCCTTACATGTTTCGAGTTTGTAGTCTTCGAAATGTCGTGAAATGCTGTGGTATTTAAGATATTGTTGTTTTTTTTTTCAACATTTACTATCAACAGAATACTTTTGTTGAACTGTGTAAACGTCAGATTACTCACATGAGAGTGACATCTAAATTGTATTCCGCCAATTAGACGATCGAGGATTGTACAGGAATAATGATATCCTGACGCTTAATTACACTGTTGTCGCCACGAACTGATTCTAAAATTGATCAAAATACAGAGGTTCAGACAAACATATTTATAACGACGAATTATGCCAGTGATGAATTGTCAACAGAGAAAAAATGACGTTTTGACACTTGAAAATTGAATGGGAGTGCCTTATTTGTATGTCAAGTTGAGCGAATGTTTCTATATCAAGCGCGACCCGATCTTACAAATTGATAAATGACAGATAGTGTAGTGATATTAACATTTAAGTAAAGGTTAAAGTTTATATATAGAACAAAAAACTAGAGGCGATACACACACAGAAACGGAGGATTAAAACACAGACAACAAAATCTCCAACAATGTACTTAACTATAGAGAAAATACACACAATGAAAAAACACACAGAGACGATGTAGTCAGATGATGTACATGCTGTACACAGAATACCCAGAGAGACGATGTACACAGACAGATGGTGTAAATATACAGACAGACGATGTACACAGACAGATGATGTAAATACACAGACAGACGATGTACACAGACTGATGATGTAAATACACAGACAGACGATGGACACAGACAGATGATGTAAATACACAGACAGACGATGGACACAGACAGATGATGTAAATACACAGACAGACGATGTACACAGATGATGTAAATACACAGACACGATGTACACAGACAGATGATGTAAATACACAGACAGACGATGGACACTGACAGATGTTGTAAATACACAGACAGACGATGTACACAGACATATGATGTAAATACACAGAGAGATTATGTTCACAGACGACAGATGATGTAAATACACAGAGAGATGAAGTACACAGACAAACGATACAGATACACAGAGAGACGATACAACAGATACAGATGATGAAAATACACAGAAAGACGATGTTCACAGACAGATGATGTAAATACACAGAGAGACGATGTACACAGACAGGTGATGTAAATACACAGACAGACGATGTACACAGACAGATGATGTAAATACACAGACAGACGATGTACACAGACAGATGATGTAAATACACAGAAACGATGTACACAGACAGATGATGTAAATACACAGACAGACAATGTACACAGACAGATGATATAAATACACAGAGAGACGATGTACACAGACAGATGATGTAAATACACACAGAGATGATGTACACAGACTGATGATGTAAATACACAGACAGACGATGTACACAGACAGATGTTGTAAATACACAGACAGACGATGTACACAGACAGATGATGTAAATACACAGAAACGATGTACACAGACAGATGATGTAAATACACAGACAGACAATGTACACAGACAGATGATATAAATACACAGACAGACGATGTACACAGACAGTTGATGTAAATACACAGAGAGACGATGTACACAGACAGATGATGTAAATACACAGAGAGACGATGTACACAGACAGATGATGTAAATACACACAGAGATGATGTACACAGACTGATGATGTAAATACACAGACAGACGATGTTCACAGACAGATGTTGTAAATACACAGACAGACGATGTACACAGACAGATGATGTAAATACACAGAAACGATGTACACAGACAGATGATGTAAATACACAGACAGACGATGTACACAGACTGATTATGTAAATGCACAGACAGACGATGTACACAGACAGATGATGTAAATACACAGAAAGACGATGTACACAGACTGATGATGTAAATACACAGACAGACGATGTACACAGACAGATGATGTAAATACACAGACAAACGATGTACACAGACAGATGATGTAAATACACAGTGACGATGTACACAGACTGATGATGTAATACAGAGAGAGACGATGTACACAGACATATGATGTAAATACACAGAGAGATGAAGTACACAGACAAACGATACAGATACAAAGAGAGACGATGTACAGATACAGATGATGTAAATACACAAAGAGACGATGTACAGATACAGATGATGTAAATACACAAAGAGACGATGTACAGACAGGTGGTGCAATACACAGAGAGACGATATAAAGCAACTTTAACCACGTTAAGAGACGATTTCCATAGATGAGACGCATTATAATTTCTACTGTATCAAGTGGAAACCATTCTTTCTATCGTCGATTTAACTTAAGTTTTGTATGTTTCCTAAGATGGCGCTATAATAAACAATAACGCTTACGTTATACCTTCCTAGTACTTGTATACAAAGGATAGGATCTGATAACAGGATGTACAATGTATGTGATAAGGTGTCGTATGTGGGATAGGATCTGATAACAGGATGTACAATGTATGTGATATAGTGTCGTATGTGGGATAGGATTTGATAACAGGATGTACAATGTACGTCATATAGTGTCGTATGTGGGATAGGATTTGATAACAGGATGTACAATATAAGTGATATAGTGTCGTATGTGGGATAGGATTTGATAACAGGATGTACAATGTACGTGATATAGTGTCGTATGTGGGATAGGATTTGATAACAGGATGTACAATGTACGTGATAAGGTGTCGTATGTGGGATAGGATTTGATAACAGGATGTACAATGTACGTGATATAGTGTCGTATGTGGGATAGGATTTGATAACAGGATGTACAATGTACGTGATAAGGTGTCGTATGTGGGATAGGATTTGATAACAGGATGTACAATGTACGTGATAAGGTGTCGTATGTGGGATAGGATTTGATAACAGGATGTACAATGTACGTGATAAGGTGTCGTATGTGGGATAGGATTTGATAACAGGATGTACAATGTACGTGATAAGGTGTTTTTGTGACTAATGATTGCCGTAATCTGGTGAACTCACGTTGTTTTAGTAGAGGTTCGGAGATACTAAACACTACCCTTATATGTCTCAAAATCCATCCTGTTTTACAGGAAATATTGTTCACTTATAACCTTAATCGCTGTGACAGCAATCTCCATACGCGATAAATACTGCCTAATAAAATGGCATTGGTTTGGTTCCAGCTTGAGACTGGACAATTCAACGTAGTGTAAAGCTTCTGGTGCGAGCGAGATATTCTTCAGTAAAAACACGAGTAATCATCGCTGACACACACTGAAATGGCAGAGCGAGTATTAAATGGAAGGACAGTCTAACCCAAGTGTTCAAAACTAGCCGGCCGAAGGAGGACACATGTTAAGGAACATTTTCCCAATTTCTCGACATTATCCTCGCTGCAACTGAACATTGTCCTGACGCTATCATTCAGTCCTAGGAAGAACAAATCACAAAATAAAATATTGTTCTGGTGGTGTGATCAAATTACAAATTTCAGTATATTATCAATGAAACAAAGATGTTCCAACAAAGGAATATCGTTTTCGGTTGTTTTATCTATAAAGTACCCGTAATTCCTTTTGTATTTGAGATTTTTGTCGTTAAATGTATATTTGTATATGACCAGTTCACGAGATTTTATGACTATGTTTTCAAGTAAACAAAAAGTAATTAGAATACAAACCTTCCAGTGGTTATTGTATATCTCTATTAAAAACTTTGTGCTAATATTACATGGCTGTGGAATTTCAAATAAAGACCCTATCTAGAAGGCGCCTGCACGTGGTCTACTGATGCAATCACAATGGTTTTACCACATTAATCAGCTGTTTTATCTTACTAGTAACACCGCGGACTTTTCTTCCGCTGCAAAACTGCAGAGCTGTTTGTCCCAACCCATTTGTAAACAGGTACACACGTTTTCTATCAGCAGTATGATTTCTTAACTTCATTTCTTTGCTACAGTTGTCTGATAATGTTAGGATAATTCTCACGAATCGGTTAACTGTTTGTCGCTGCTTTCAAATCAAAATATCTCGTACTCGACGTTTTTCTAGTAAAACGACTTTTACCAGAACTTTGACGAAAATAGTATCAGGAACTAGTAAAAGCCTTGACAAGAAGAGATATCCTCATTTGATTCCGGATTCCATACGTCTCTAGTAACAGCTGTACGTCGTTTTCAAAGTCAGCCAATCTGACAGATTCTGGAGCAAAAACTATCATCAACGTCTCCTCGGGTTGACAGAAGTAAAATCACTGATGTTACAACATAAATAACTCCAGTGGAACACAGTAGAATTATCACTCATGTTACAATCTACCTAATCCCCGTGGTAAACAGTAGAATTATCACTCATGTTACAATCTATATAATCCCCGTGGTAAACAGTAGAATCATCACTCATGTTACAATCTACCTAATCCCCGTGGTAAACAGTAGAATCATCACTCATGTTACAATCTATATAATCCCCGTGGTAAACAGTAGAATCATCACTCATGTTACAATCTACCTAATCCCCGTGGTAAACAGTAGAATCATCACTCATGTTACAATCTATATAATCCCCGTGGTAAACAGTAGAATTATCACTCATGTTACAATCTATATAATCCCCGTGGTAAACAGTAGAATTATCACTCATGTTACAATCTATATAATCCCCGTGGTAAACAGTAGAATCATCACTCATGTTACAATCTACCTAATCCCCGTGGTAAACAGTAGAATCATCACTCATGTTACAATCTATATAATCCCCGTGGTAAACAGTAGAATCATCACTCATGTTACAATCTACCTAATCCCCGTGGTAAACAGTAGAATCATCACTCATGTTACAATCTACCTAATCCCCGTGGTAAACAGTAGAATCATCACTCATGTTACAATCTATATAATCCCCGTGGTAAACAGTAGAAT